AGAGGGATTGTAAGCGTGAGAGTTGTGAGAGTGTGTGAGTATGAGTGTATCAGTGTGAGAGTGTGTGAGTGTGGGTGTGTTTGAGTGAGAGCGTGAAATAGTTGAGTGTGTGTTTACCTCTGGATGTGAGTGAAGTGGGTGAACTTGAGTGTGTGGGAGTAGGACTTGGTCGGGGGCTTGCCTAACTGTTCCATGTGCGCAGGGTGGAGAGTGTGGCTGAGTGTATGTGTGCATGTGTGTGTGCGCGCATGTGTGCGATGTCTGAGCCCACTGCCATCCTTTCTGGCCCCTTCCTGTCTGTGTCTGGCTGCCCCTCTGCAGGTCTCCCTCTGTGGGTGTCTCTCGCCTGCCCTGGCTCTGCGTCTCCCCGTTTTTGCCTCTGTTTGTCTGTCCCTGTCTCTCCCCTATCTGTCTCTCTCTTTTCCTGTCTCTGTCTCTGACCTTGGTGCAGTGTCCCTGGGTGTAGGACGTGTAGGATGTGGCCCTGTCTTGCGCCCAGTCAGGTGTGCCTGCCCTGGGCCAGGACCCACTGGGGGTGGCTGCTGGGGTCCCCGGGCTGTGCCCATGCTCAGCCCCTGGCCGGGGGCCCAGAGCGGAGGAGCAGGAGGGAGCGGCCCATGGGGTGCAAGCTCGGGCACGGTCTGTGCCAGGCCCTGCAGTGCCGGTGTCCCGCCCGGGCCCAGCTAAGTCGTAGCCCCAGGCCCTGTGAGGGCTGCAGGCCCAGAGCCCTGTGGCCGGTGAGGCACCCAATGACCTGACCTGGACGGGGTGGATGGCAGAGCAGTGGGTGCACGTTCGGCTGGGTCCTTGGCTGACACTGACAGGCCCTGGCTGACCTTTGCTAATCCTGGCTGGTCTTGGCCTCACGGCTTCACAACCACCTGATGGGGACGAGGGGACTGCTCCTTCCAGGAGGTTCTCAGCTGCCACGTGAGGAGGAATAGAAGGAACGGGACCCCTCCTGACCCTTCAGGCCATGACGGCCAAGGCCAGTGGGCCTGATGTCAGGACACCCTGGAGTCTCCTGTGTCGGCTGCTCCCCCGACATGTGGGTGCCTATCAGGCTGCTCCTGGCTGCCCCTGAGCTGACCTGTGTGATCCTGATGCTCTGGCTGACTCTGGACAGACCTTTGTCTAATCCTGGCTGAACATGGCCTCTCTGGGGCTTGACCCTCGTTGACCTGGCTGATTTGGGCTGACATTGGTTGATTCGGGGTGATCCTGGGCTGACCCTGGGCTGCTGGGCTCTGCTGTGGGGTGGGGGCTGTGGCATTCTGCAGGCTGCGGGGCAGGGGGTGTTCACTGCCCTAGAAGGGCTCTTCGGGGCTCTGGTCCACTGCCCAGGCTCCAGGCCCATCTGTCCAGGACTCGGTTTGGGACGTGGCCTCAGAACAGCAGGCTCTGGCTGGGCCACCTGGGCTGGGCTGTGCTCGCAATGATTCAGCTGCCCCATAGGGTTATTGTTAAAGTTTCAGCAGGCGATCAGGCACAAGAGCCTTGAGAGGAAAGAGAAAACAAGCACCAGTACCTCCCCCTCATGTTCCCACCCCATGTGCCCAAGCCCTCTCTCCCCATGTGGACCTCTGGGCATGGAGACTCCCATAGTCATGGGTCTGGCTCAGGCCACCTGGGCCTGGGACCACTCTCTTTCCACCAAGTCAGCCTGGCACCTGCGCACCTCTCTGGGAACTGGAAAGGAGGAAGCCAGGTGCTGGGTCGTCACTCCATCCTCATCCAGTGCTGGACCAAGAGGGGAAGGGCCCCTGGGAGGCTCCCTGTCCTCCGGGTGGGTCACTTGCTAGAGAGGATCAGGGCTCAGGACCCCGGGCAAGGAAGCAGGACTCAGGAGCTGAGAGGAGATGGCGCAGGATGATGAGAGCATTTCAGAGGCAGAGGAAGGCGGGATAAGACCAAGACTTGGCCGAGCAATGGGGACCAGAGCTGGGGACCAGAGCTGGGGACCAGAGAGGGCCCAGGCCTCAGGCTCAGGCCTCAGGACAAGGGCTCAGTGATCTGACCAGGGCTCGGTGAGCAGGACCAGGGCTCAGGGAACAGGTCCAGGTTCCAGGTATCAGAACCAGGGAAGGACCAAGGCCCAGGGATCAGAACCAGGGGAACAGGTCCAGGTTCCGAGTATCAGAACCGGGACTCAGGGATCAGGATCAGGGCTTAGTGAGCAGACTGGGGAGCTGGGCCCATTTCCTGTGGGGGGTCTTATTTCATACTCCCCTTGGTGATTCCCCTCTTGTAGACCCATGCTTTATGCAGGACCTGGTCTGGTGGCCTAGGCCAGAGGGACCCCCACCATGTCTACTGTGAACCTGCCTTGGGTCCTGAGGCTGGTGTTCTCTCCGAAGAATCCCCATTCCTTGTCCCTCCCCTCACTCAGAATCAGAGAACATGATGAGTTTATTGCACCAGGACAGCCTGCATGTGGGTGGGTGGCTTCCAAGCTGGACTGAGCTTGGGGCCTGGCTGGACTCGAGGAAGCTCTCCCATGGTCCTCCCTGCACACACAGGCAGGTCCGGCCTGGGAGCTCCCGAGGTGGCAGGCTGCTTGCCTTGGGCTGGCTCCCGGGAGACTGAACCGAATCCTTCAGTGACTGCTTGGTGGGAGGCAGGCGCCCTGAGCCTGCGGACTCCCCACCTGCCCTTGATGTCTTGCGGGGATGACCTCCCTGGAAGACAAGACCCCCTGGCATGCATGCTTTCTGGGAGCCAAGCATCCATCCCCCGCCATGAGCCCACTGCCTTGCCTTCCCGCCTCCCCATCTGGGCCTGGCTGGCCCCTGCTCGGTACTGGGGGTCCTCTGGGCTGCCAGGCGGACCCCGGACACTGGTCACGATCAGTGCCGTGCTGTAGGAGAGGCTGTGCAGGAAGAGGTGAGCAAGGTGACAGTGGTGGGCCACAGGCCAGCTCTCGGGGCGTCCTCCTCCAGGTCCTTCTGTGGCAGGTCCGTCGCCACCCGGGACAGCGGCTCTGGACAATCCGTAAGACACTGGGAGCCTGGCAGGCATGCCCTTGTGTGGGTGGGGGCCAAGCCAGCGCCCTCCCCTCCCAGCACCCTGAGGCCAAGATGGCAGCAGTGTGGCTTCTCTCACGGGGCTGAGGTTGAGGTGGCTGGAAGGGGCCGGGATCCTCTTGGATCTTGAGATGCCCATAGGACCCTGTCTCTGAGGGTCTCAGCACATCCTAGAGAGAGAAGGTGGCAGGGCAACAGGGTGGGCATTGCCTTTGCTGTTCTAAGGAGAACTCAGGCCCAAGGCCTCCTGGATCTCAGCCCTCTCTGTGTCCTCACCAAGCTCCTGTTCTTGGGCTGGACTGGCCTGGGCCCTGAATGGGGTCAGAGAGAAATGAACACACTCACCCTCAGCTGCTCCAGTTAGAGACTCAGATCTGAGTCTGTGTTTAATGTGCCAAGGGCCCAATGGGCCTTCTGATGCCCTCCCAAGGAATGTAGCTGATGAGCTATGAGGAGCAGGAAGGAGGGCCAGGTGAAGGCCACTGGGCAGCCCTGCTGTCTTCAGAGTCTTAGGGCAGAGACCTCCCATGTTAAATGGGATTTGCACCTGCTTATCATATGCTGACACATTCAGTCATTCATCTCTTCATCCATCCATCCATCCATCCATCCATCCATCCATCCATCCATCATCCGTCATCCATCCATTGTGTGCCCTTTCATCCATCATATGTCCTGTGGTCCTCCCACCTACCTGCCTGTTGTCTATCTGTTGGTTCAGCCCTTCATCTACTTATTCCTCTTCCCTTCCTTGTCCTCTTAGGAAGCTCCTCCTGGGGCAGGTCCTGGGTCCCTGGTGGCTGGAAAACCTTCACAGTGGCAGAGTTTCCCCAGTAAGTGCCTTGCTCTTCCTACTGCCCTTTAGTGACTGGACCCTCAAGAGGGGAACAGTAGGCAGGATGGTTAGGGGTACCCATCTATCTTGGCCCTGGGAGCAGAGGGAGGCAGCCAGAAGGCTAGGCACTCTGGAGAGGCCCAGAAAGTGTCTAAAACAAGAGCAGGGGCCCTGGCACCAGGTGTCCCAGGTGGTCATGGGGTTGTCATTTCCACTTTGTTTCCCTGGCCTCCTCTTCTTCTGCCAGGAGCCCCAAGCAGGAGCTGGGAGGGGCCCTGTCCCACTGACCCCTACCCACTCCTGCCCCCACCCTACAGTCTGGGTCATATTTGGGTTCAGGGAGGAATGAGAAGCTTGAGGTTGGGGATCGGGCAGGGGCCAGAGGCTGCCATGGGGAGTTCTGTGAGATCGCTCCCTGAGCTGTGCCCAGCTGGGCAACCGGGGCCAGAGGCCAGAAGGACCTGGGGCAGTGGGCTGGGCCTGGGGAATGTACTGGGAGCTTGAATGGGGATTCCTGTTGCCTTCCCGGGGCAGGGGCTGTGCTGTGAACATTCTACACCTACAAGGTTCAGGGGTGTGTGCACCCAATTGAGTGTGAGCACGTGGAGGATGTGTGTGTGTGTCCACGTGAGTGTGAGCCCATGTGCACAAAGAGCTGTGTGAGGCAGGTGGAGAGGACTGTGCCCGGCCAGGTGGTCCCTTCTTTGTGAGTCAGCGGGGCTGGCCTGCATCTTCCTGTTGTGCCCACCGAGGGTGTGAGGGGCCCTGGAACCCAGCCCTCCTGCCCTGGCCATTCCCCTCACACCTTGGCCCACGCATGATGGCCGCGGACCCTTCCTGGCTGCCCAGCTCCCTTCCACCTCTTCCCCTCCTGCTGCCCCGAGAGGGGTTTTTGGATACAAGCAGGCACTTCCCAGGGTGTCCGCTGTGCCCAGGACCCACCAGCTGTGCCTTTCTCCCATGGCTCTGCCACCCCAGCTTTCATGCCAGCTCAGTCTCAGTCACTGTGCATGCACACTCCTGCACATGTGTGTGCACACACACACACGAGCCCATGGGTGTGAGGGCGCATCCCAGGGCCAGGCCGAGAGGACCAGACAGGTGCCAGAGGGACATGCGGCTGCTTTGGGCCAGCGTGGGATTTATTCGAGGGCAGGGTGGGCAGGCGTGGCCGCTCCGTAGCAGGTGCCATCCACCTCTGCCAAGATCACGGACACGTTGATGTGGCTGGGTTTACCTGCCAGGCGGTCGATGGTCTTCTGGGTGAAGTTCTGGGGTAGCGCCTCGTGGCCCACCGTGCAGGAGAAGTTGTCCCCGTTCCTCCACTGCTTGGCCTCCATGCGCAGCACGCTGGTCACGGCGAATGTGTTGCCGGGGCCGGACTTGTGCAGGGGGCTCCAGGTCAGGTACTTCTCTTGGGACAGCTCCCAGCTCCCGTGCTGCCACAGCACCAGCAGGTCACTGGGGCTGAAGCCCCGCACCAAGCAGGTCAGTGTCACCATCTCGTTGAGGGCCAGCTCCTCCGAGGGTGGCGACAGCAGGTGGACCTTGGGTGGCGAGAGGCTCCCTAGGGGCATAGAGGAGGCAAGTGAGGGGTGTGGGCAGGGAGAGAGAACCTTTGCCCTCTGGGCACCCTGTGCCCAGCCTCTATCTGTAAAATGGGCAGGGCACCTGGGTGTGGGGAGGCAGGCTTAGGTCTGTGCCTGGCACACGGTGGAATGCTGGGTGGCTCCTCTCGGGTGGGATCAAGGCCCACCTGAGGCTTTGGCGATGGTTGCTGTTAGCGGGCTCTTAGAGCCAGGATAGGTGGCAGTGCATGAGAAGGTGACCCCACGGTTCCGCAGCTCGGCGCAGCCTGACAGGACACTGGACACGCTGTAGCAGCCAAAGGAGTCATGCTCAGGTGTCCTCCGGATAGCGTCCATCCCACCTGTGGGCTCCCAGGTGAAGGTGGTACCCTTGGTGTGCATGTGACATTGGCATTGAAGCTCAGGAGCAGGTCCTCGAGGGTGGGCCGATGCAGCGTCAGCTGGGGCTGGCAGCAGGGTTTTCGCACCCTGCTGAGAGGGAGGCAGAGCCATCAGCACCGCTGCACCCCCTCGTCCCCTTCCCTCCCTCCTGATCCGGCCCTGCCCCCTCCTCGCCATCCACTCCCTCAGCCTGAGCCCACTCTTGCCTGAGGGGAGCCCCAGTGGGGGACGTGGTTCCACCATGGGAACTTGATGGCCCCCACCCCTCCCTGGCCGGACCTTTAGGGGTGAGGCAGGGCACGTCCACGAACTGGCTGGGGTTGGAGCTGTACTTCACGTGGCATTTCCGAGACTGCTTCTCTGGGCACTGGTCGGCCGGCAGGGTCAGCTGGCTGCTCATGGTGTACAGGCCCCTGGCGGCTTGCACTGTGGGGAAGTTGCTGATGGAGGTGCCTTTCCCGTTGTGGTCCCAGGTCATGTTCACGGACCCTGGTGGGAAGAAGCCCTGGACCAGGCAGCCGATGGCCACATGACTGGCTGGGTCGGTGCTTTGGAGACTGAGTGGGAAGAGACTGGGGCTGGCTGGGTCCACTGCAACAGGGGAGGGTGCCCCGTGAGACCCCCGAGACGGCCCCATGAGGGTGGACCACATCCACCGCTCCTCTACCCTGGGGGAATAGCGCAGGGAGGGCCTCTTGCTGCCCCTGGGTCATTCAGCTCACAGGCCAGGGACTTGGGCTTGGGACTGGCAGCCGAGTGCAGCTGCACGGCTCCTGAACACACTCCTTGGAGCTCCAGCATGTGGACTGGACACGCTCCTTAAGCAGGCCGCCTCCCGATCGAGTCACGGTTGTTACACAGGGCTCTCCACTGGCCGGTGGAGCCTGTGGGCACCGCTGGAGCCTCAGCTTCCTCTGTGCAGTGGGTACGGCCATGCTCTCTCCCAGAGTTTCGGGGTCCTGAAAGGTGGGCCCTGACGGGGGACATAGATCAGCACAGGGAGATCTGGGCCTGAAGCTCAGCCTGCCCTGGGGGCTGGCGTGGCTGTGCCGAAGGGCATGCTGGGAAGGAGAGGGGACCTGAGCACTCTGTGGCCCCCAGTCAAATGTCGCTGGTCAGGGTCCAGGTTGAACCACTCCACTAGCTAACACCACCCCAGTCCCCCACAAGTAGAGGTCCACCTCGTGGCCTACAGGGGTCTCAAGACCAGAGGCCCAACCAAATCAACCCTTTGGAGATGTCCTTCCTGGACAGGCTGGGCACACAGGGCCCCCACTTGTATCTCCTTCAGGGCCACTAGTGATGGGAGAAGAGAGGACACATGGCACAGGTACATCTGAGACTGCATGGCCCTCATGTGCTCCTAAAACACAGGGTGCAGCCTGGGTGGGGAACAGGGCAGGGTCACCCAGGGATGATCCACACTGAACCCACCTCTTCCCATTCACCAACTACTAGCAGTCCAGCTCAGCTCAGCCCAGCCCAGCCCAGCTCAGCTCAGCCCAGCCCAGCCCAGCCCAGCCCTGCCCAATTCAGCCCAGCCCAGCCCAGCCCAGCCCAGCCCAGCCCAGCCCAGCCCAACTCAGCCCAACTCAGCCCAGCCCAGCCAGTCCAACCCAGCCCAGCCCAGCCCAACTCAGCCCAGCCCAGCCCAGCCCAGCCCAGCCCAGCCCAGCCCAGCCCAGCCTTGCCCAATTCATCCCATCCCAGCCCAGCCCAGCCCAGCCCAGCCCAGCCCAGCCCAGCCCAGCCCAGCCCAGCCCAGCCCAGCCCAGCCCAGCCCAGCCTTGCCCAATTCATCCCATCCCATCCCAGCCCAGCCCAGCCCAACCCAACCCAACCCAGCCCAGCCCAGCCCATCCCGGCTCAGCCCAGCCCAGCCCAGCCCAGCCCAGCCCAGCCCAGCCCAGCTCAGCCCAGCCCAGCTCTGCCCAATTCATCCCCCTCTCCATCTCCCGCACCCTCCTCACGGTGCTCTTGGCTCTGTGCCTTGGCCACACCTCCACTGCCCAGCTCGCGCCCTGCTCCCAGATGTTGTCAGCACCCAAGGAGGGTCACCTGGCTGCCCCGAGGAGGGTGTGGGCGCCAGGCCCCCCACCGCTGCTGGTGGGCCATGTGTGCAGATGGGACATCGGGCCTGCTGCTGACACTTGGCTCTCATTTGTGTGTATCTGCACCCGGAAGGGCCGGCCTGGGTGTGTGTGTGCAAGTCTATGGGTCACTAGGGGCCCTGGGCACATGCTCCCATGTCTCCATCCTGCAGCTGGGCCCCCTGGCAGATGGCTCTGCCAGGCCTGGTGACCTGGGAAGACCCTGGTCTGCTGCTTGGTGGGCTGGGCTGGGCTGGGCAGGCTGACCAGGTGCACAAAGCAAGACCTAGGTGGAGCCCTCTGACCCCGGGGCAGACTGTCCTGCTCTGTCACACCTGGCCCTTGGCCCCGAGGACAGATGCCATGTGGGCAGCAGGGTGGGGAATACAGAGTTCCTTGGAAGAATCTGTGATGCTGAGAGAAACCACAAGGCTAGAGCAGGCAGAGCCTCAGCTGGGCAGCAGGGTGGGCCCAGGCTTGCAGACTGCGCAGGTGGGAATGTGCAGGGCTGGGGGCTCCCCTGGGCTGCCCTGGCTCCTGGCCACTCCTCACCACTCTCTTTGGGCTGTGGGCCTGGGGGCCAGGCCTCAGGGCTGAGCCGGCCTTCTGGTTCTGTCCTTACCCCCAGCATGTGCTGGGCTGCTGGTGCTGGGCAAGGATGCATGTGGAGGTGGGCACTCTCCCAGCCTTAGCCACCGCTGGGGGCCTTTGGTCTCGGAGCAGAACAGCTCCCACAGGTCAGATCGGCTCTGGGCGCACAGGTCTGTGCTGCCCTGTTCTTCCCTGTGGCTGTGTCCCTGCCCCAGCCTCGAGGAGTCACCCGTGACCTGCCCCTTCTCTCCAGGGCTGGGGGTGGATGCCTGCTACCCTGCAGGCACATGCTGCAGCCTCCTCAGCCCCCTGCTGGGGCCCTGCCCTGGTGCTCCTGTGCCGCAGGACTCAGGACAGAGCCTGCATCTAAACCAGCTGTGCCTCCGCTGTGCACAACATGTGAGTGTGCACCTGTGTGACATGTGTGTGCCTCTGTGGGCATACATGTGTGCATGCACGTGCAGGTGTGTGCCCGGGTGTGACACAAAACATGTGCATGTGTATACCTCTGTGAGAGTGTGTGTCATGCACACACACACATGTCCTGGTGTACATGCGTGTTCATGCATATGTGTGGTGTGTGTGCCTGCATGGCATGCACATGCCTGTGTCTCTCCATGTATATGTGTATGCATGTGTGTGCACACATGCGTGTGTGGGTGCATGCGACTGCATGACATGCACATGTACATGTACCTCTCCGTGTGTGTGTGTGTGTGTGTGTGTGTGTGTGTGTGGAAGTCGTGCTCTCCTACCATAGCTCTGGAAAGCCCAGCCGACTGAGAAGCACTCTGCAAGGCTCCGACCGAGGGCAGCACAGGCAAGGACAGAGCTACTGCTCACCCGGATGCAGCTGTCCCTGGCGGGCGATGTTGCTCAGTGTCCACAAGAGCCGTCAGTGCAGTCCCCCGCGCTGGAGGATGTGGTGAAGCCTGGAGCTGGGAGCCTGGGCAGGGCAGGCTGTGGCTTCCTGTTTTTTAATGACCCAAGTAAGGTGGGTCCAGAGCAGGATCCCACTTGGTTAGAAAGTTTCCAAGGAGCTGGGGTGTGGAGACAGGCAGGAGGTTAGACAGGGCCTGGCCAGAGAGCACAGGCTGAGTGGGCTTTGAGCCTGAGCAGCTTGAAACCCCATTTGGAGGCCAGGCCACAACATTAGGCCTGTGGGGGCAGCAGGGACCAATGGGCTGCTTGGAGGGAGCAGGGCTGCAAGCGCTTCTCAAACCGGTACGCACAGGATAGTGGCAGCCTTCAGAACCCCCAGACTTAAGCTGGGGGCTCAGCGTCTCTGACACCTGTGACAGGGGCCAGGCCCCAGAGTCCTCCTAGACAGTGAGACCAGCTGACTCCTTTGTTGACCTTGGTAGTGGCCCCAAAGGCAGGCCCCTGAATGTGCTGGTCCCTGTTCTCAGGGGCTGGCCTGGACCCATCTCCATCCTGGGACTGACTGAACCACCCCAGGCTCCCTGCCTTCCACTTGCTCCACCCAGGACAGCGTTGCACATGGCCCCTGACTTCCTCATGAGGGCGCCATGCTCCGAGGGCTGGAAAGCCGCGTCTCCTGTTCTCATTTAAATGCTCCTGTCACTCAGGAGCTTGAGTGTCTCCTCAGATACTCGGAAGCCATCTGCACTTCCTTGCCTCTGCTCTCACCGTGTTTCCTAGAGGCGTTCTTGGCGATCCCTTGGGACTCTGCGAGGCAGTCATTCCGAATGCCAGTCCCTGGTTAGTTTTGAATTTGCAGTCTTTCATCAGTTGATCAGTGTCACTTCACATTGCTTATCATGGCCTTCATTTAACAGGAATTCTTATTGATTGGTTGATTGATTGTTTTAGAGAAAGAGGAAGCAGGGAGAGACATTGATGTGTTATTGCACTTATTCATGCATTCATTGGTTGATTCCTGCGTGTGCCCTGACTGGGGATCAAACCTGCAACCTTGGCCTTTGGGGAGATGCTCCAGCTAAATTACCTGCGTGTCCATGGCAATTTAACAGAAATTCTTGATTTCCATGTGGTCAAATTCATTAGCTATTCACTCTCAGCCTTTGCCTTAGGTGGTTGGAGAGCTCTGTTACCAGCTGTAGGAGTGTCCTGTGGCTCCTGTAACAGAGTGCCCCAAATGTGGGGGCTTAGAACCACGGGAACGTGTCCCCTGCCATTCTGGATAGCAGCAGTCCACCACCAAGGTGTGGGGAGGCCTGAGCTCCCTCTGAAGCTGCAGGGGCATCTGGAAGCTACTGATGCCACTCTAATTTCTGCTTCTGTCTTCATGTGACCTCCTGCCCCACGTGTCTCTGTGTGTCATGTCTTCTTTGAAGACCACCAGTCATTGGACTTGGGACCTATCCAAAGCTAGTATGATCTCAAGACCCTTAAGCTAATTTTATCTGCAAAAGCCCTATTTCCGAATGAGTTACCCAGGCTGAGGCTGTCTCCAGCTCCCCCAGCCTGGCTGGTCCAGTTTCTGTCGGCTTTGAGTGGCATCCAGATGGAGGCGGTCCTCCAGCGGGCCGCCCACCGCCCACCCCCACAGGATGCACAGCAGCTGTCCGCGCTCAGCTCCCCCCGCCCCCAGGCTTTCCCGCTTGTCCCCGCCGTCCAACCTGGCTGCACTCCCTGTTCACCACGTTCCTGCAAACAGCTGTGCCGTGTCTGAGCTCCCGGCCCCTGGGTCTGGTAGTCAGTGCAGGGGCAACGTGCTTTTACAACAGTGTTCGTGCATTTGTTGCTGTTTAGGAGGGCTTCCCTAAACCTCTCATCCTTTGCTCTTTCTTGCTCTTCAGATTCATTCAATCTGTAAGTGGACCTCAAAATCAGACAGACGGAGACACACAAGACAAACCCGTCTGCAATTTTGATTGGAGGACATGGCAAGGCGAGCGGGTCATGGAGCCCCAGTCATGCTGATGCTGTGACCCACGTCATCCCTTCCCCATCTCGCCCCCATGTGTGCAGGTCCCAGGCCGGGTCTGCCAGGCCCCGCTGCACCCTCACCATGGCATCTTCTGGCGCCACAGGGACGGGACAGGCCAGAGGAGCCGTTGGCTCCAGGGAGAGACACACACATGGGTCCCGTTCCGGGGGACCAAGTAAGTGTGTGTGTGGGCGGGGAGTGTGGTGAGCCATGCGGAGGGGAGGGGATGTGAGAGAAGGCTTGGCGACGAGGCACCCGGATGGACCCTGGTGGCTGGTACCCGAGTGGGGAATTGTGTGCGATGTGAGGGCCTCTGTGTGTGTGCAACCACCTGAGTGTCTTTGTGAGTGTGTAAAACACAGACAGAGGTGTGCGTGTTGGAGCTGGTGCTCAGGGTGGGGGCTGCATGTGGTCAGGAGGGGCCTCAGGGCTCATGGGCACAGCTGCAGGGGCTCAAAGGCAGGCAGACAGTGAGAGAGGTGGGGTGTCCTGTGGTGCAGTGTTGCTGGGAGGTCGTGGGTGGGAGCCTCGCGATGGTGGGGCAGTTCCTGAGGGTGTTCCTGCCCTGAGGGCTGTGGCTGTAGACCAAGCCAGGGCCTCCTGTTCAGCAAGGAGGCCACAGGGTCCGTGGTGGCAGGGTGACCCTGAGGGAGGGGTGGGCTGGCTGGAGGTGCATGCCTTGGTCCCAGTGATGGAAGTGAGGTGCAGAGTCTGGGAAAGAGAGGGAGAGGGGCCTGGGCTGGGCACAAGAGACCGAGCGGGGAGGGTGACCCTCAGTTCTACCACCTGGGGCCCTGGAGTCTGGAGACCCACAGGCTGCCTGGCCAGGGCCCTGCGGGTCCGACGTGGCCCTGGGCCCCTGCTGGCCGCACCGCCAGGCTCCCGCGTGTGATCCAGCTGCTGCTGGAGCGGTGATGCCCCTTGGCTGCATGAAGCCCTCCCTCCCCTGCCCACAGGAAGCGGAAAGGGCACCTCCCCATGGCTTCGGGCCTCCCGGGCTGTGCTGGCAGAGGCCCTTCGCCAATGCCCCCCATCCTGGAGCCCACCCCAGGCCGTGGGACGTGTTCTGGCTGACGCCTGACACGCCCACCTCCTCCCTCGGAGCTTTACTGAGAAGGTGGACACCTGAGTGCTGCCTTGGCCCCTGCGGGCGGTCTCTCTGCAGCCCAAGGGCCTCTCCGGGAAGGGTGGGCCTGGCCCCGTCTCTGTGAAGGACAGCCCTGACTCCGCCACTGCCGGCCAGTGGGCCATCTGCCTTTGGCCCCTACTCAGACCGCCCTTCCTCACCCTTCCTGGAGCCCCCTGGCCCCTCACCCTCCTGGGAATCACCCTTCTCCCTGTGCAAACCCAAGCCAAGTTGAGGTCATGGGACCTCCCCCCTGATGACTGCTTGCTGCCTGGATCTGTGCTGACCTCAGAGCATGTGCCCCTCTGGCCTGGCCTTCACTGCCCCTCCCACCTGATCCTTGTTCCTTGCACCCACTTGCCCCTTTGGGGCTGAATTTTGTCCGCACATTTGCCTATTGAAGTCCTAACCTCCAGCACCTCAAAACCTGACTGCATTTGGAAATGGGGTCTTTCTGGAGGTGGTAAGTTAATATGAGATCAACAGCGTGGGTCCTAATCCAGTCTGATTGGCATCCTTACAAGAGGAGGAGATTGGGGCACAGACACAGAGAGGGACGGCCATGTGAGGACACAGAGGAGGTGGCCGTCCCCACGCCCAGGAGGAAACCTCAGAGGGCCAGCCCTGCCACACCGGCTCTGGGACCTCCGGCTCCAGGACGGGGACAGAATCTCTGTCTCCTGTTTCAGCCGCCCGTCTGTGCTGACTGACACTCCCGTCACGTGCGTCTTGGTTCTGGCCATGGGCAGTCCTGCTTCCTGCCGCAGGCGCCTGTGTGCCCCGGTGCCCCCTTGTTTATGGGTCTTCCTCACCCCCTGGAAGCCCAGGGGCCGCTGGGAGTGGAGGGCGTGAGGAGATGGGGGGTCGGCAGGTTCTGGCGCTGGGAGAGCTTGGGGGGCCTGACGCATGACTCGGCCAGGCTGGGGGTTTCGTGAGGCGTCCCAACACAGGGAGACTCCAGCGAGTCACGGAATTGTTAGGATGCTTTATTGTCATTTAAGAAAAACAACAACAACAACACCAAAAACAGGAGCAAAAATTAATGGGATCCAGAAAATAAAAAGAAAATAAGAAGCAACCCAAGCTACGAAATGGCATTTCCTTCTTGCAGTCTCTCTCTGTGCATCCCCTGTAGTCACGGGGTCTGTGTCTCCCCCATCTTATCTAGATAAGCAGGCTGGGCTCTCGCTGGAGATCTGGACCTCTGCCCACCATGCTGGCTCCCCGAGGCAGGGGACACAGTCTGCAATGCTAAGTCCTCTCAGCTCTCATGCCCCTCCGCCCACCCCTGGAGCAGGGGAGGCCCTGGGAAGGGGGAGGGGGCAGGACTCAGGCCCATTGCGCCCTCTCTCCTGCTCTCCTGGGGCTCTGCACCTCAACGCCCACGTCCCTTGGCCTCCTCTGTCCCCCGAGGAGGCTGTGTCCTGCCTGCGTGGAGACCTGGTCACCAGGCCCCTCCTCAGGAGGCCTGTGGGAGGACACCCACCCCTCCCTGGGTGGCACTGCCCTGCACCCTGGGTCCCTGCAGCAGCCTGCCCGGGCCCCGCTCTGAGGGTCTCCTCTGGTGGGGGCCGTCTGGGTGGCCACGAGGGCACCTCCTGAAGTTTCCTGGTGGGGCCCCGGACCCTTTCAGGATGCCTGCATCTTGGATCTTGCCCAACAGGCACCGGGAACCCAGGGCCCCAGCCTCCCCCAAGTGGACTTGCATGCCGACTCCGGGCAGGGACGTCCTGGGAGGGGACGCAACACCCTGACGCTCCTGGTGTCCACACGGCCCCTGGCGGTGTCTGTGGGGACTGACGTGGAGGGGCTGGCAGGTGCCCGTCAGCTCAGGTTGAGGGTAAATGTGCTGTCCACCTGGTTCTCTGAAGGGGTCAGTCATGGAGCAGGATGAAGCCTGGGATGGCTGTGTAGCCAGACAGCCGAGGTGCAGGCCCAGGGTGGCCGTGGGGTCGGAGGGCGGCGGGGTCAGAGGGCAGGGAGGTCAGAGGATGGCAGCAGGCTGAGCAGCACGAACCAGTGGACCCGGGCCCTGTGCGGGTCGGGGGCGGCCCTGGAGGCCTCCCTGTGAGGGATGGCGCTAAGCCCCCTGTCCGATCCTGTTCCTGTAGTCAGGGACCATGGTCCGCTTCAGCTGCACCACCGAGGAGAAGACCCACTTCACCTGCAGGGGTGAGAGCCCAGGACCCCACATCAGCCTCCACAGGGTGGGGGAGGACCACGTGGTGGCTGCGTGGGGACAGGGTGGGGACAACATGGGAACAACCTGTGACAATGTGGGAACAACATGGGGACAGTGAGGACAGCTTGGGGACAAAATGTAAACATGTGGTGGAGTGGAGACAGTATGAAGACAGTGTGGAAACAGTGTGGGGTCAGGGTGGGGTCAGCGTGGGGACAGGGTGGGGACAGGGTGGGGGCGGCGTGGGATCAATATGGGGTCGGCGTGGGGTCAGGGTGGGGCTGGTGTGGGAACATGTGGACAACATGGGAAGAACATGGGGATGGCGCAGGAGCAGCGTGGGGACGGCAGGCGCACCTTGAAGAGGGTGACCGTGGCGCTGTGGCACATGCTGAGCAGGAAGAGGGTGGTGAAGATGGAGGTGGTGGTCCACAGCCCGTCCAGCTCCCCGTCCTGGGCCTCCACACAGCCCTCGTCCAGGAGCACCTCTGGACAGGGAGGGGGAGGTCAGTGCTGGTGGGGCCTGGGGCTCCCTCTGTGACAGGGTGGCAGGCCCTGGGCTGGGCCAGAGGTGCCCAACTTCCCCTTCCTCCACCTCGGCCCCAGGTCTCAACCTGCCCTGGGGGCACCCTCTCCTCTCTGCTGCTCTCACTGGGCCCTGTGCGGATGAGGTGGGCCTGCAGTCCAGTCTGCTCTGCAGTCCGCTCAGCCCTCTGTCTCCCCCCAGGGGTCAGAGGGCAGGCGGGGCCCCTGTCCCAGGAAGGGCCAGTGCCAGGTCAGTGTTGGGAGTGCAGAGACAAGCGGGAGGGCCAGAGGGCTGGCCTGGTGCGGTGGGGAGGATTTCTGCACTTCGGAGACCACAGGATGGTACCCGAGCTGGTCAGCGTGTGAGTGAGCTGCTGGGTGGGCCCTCGGGTGTTGGAGGGGGTTGGGCCCAGCTGGTGCCCACGGTGGGATTCACAGGACCAACTGTGTTCTCTGTGCAGGGCGCCTGGTGGGAGCCCCAGAGTGTAAGGCCTGTGTGTGTGTGCATGTGTGCGCACATGTGTGCATGTGTGCGCACATGTGTGCATGTGTGTGGTAAGGTGGCCATGTGAGCTGGCGCTGGTCAGTGGGAGTGACTCATTTTCAGTGGGTCTGGGCTCAGCATCCCTGAGGGCACCTGGACAGACCCTCTCTTGGGGCCCCATGGCACGGGCCTCTGCCCCTTTAGGGTAATAGGGTGAGTGTCCCCCGAGCAGGCAGCCCTGGCCCCAGGCAGGACAAGGCTGGCAGAGTCCCCTACCCTGAGGGAGGGTGGGAGGTCGGTTCTCCAGGGCAAGACGGGCCTGTCCCCACAGCACCAAGGGCCAGGCCTCCCCTGTGTGGGCCCAGAGCCACCTCAGAGCCCAGGAGAGGTGCAGTGGACAGGGAGCCCTGGGGACCGGGGCCGCACTGTCTCACCATGCGGGCTCATGCAGAGGCGGCAAACACTGGGCCCTCGTGTCCCTGAGGGGCTCTGGAGGGCCCTCTCCTGTGCCCTGTCCACTTCTCCAGTGGGAGCGGGTGCTGGCTGGGGAGGGTGGAGGAGCGGTCTCTGGTGGCGAAGCCCCGCCCCCTGTCTCAGGTGCCTGTAGACCAGGAGGCTTGGGCCCTGCCCCAGTGGGCCCACCTCTGTCCCCTTCATGGTGACAACCCGCCACAGAGCCCGGCCTGGGCTCTGCCTTGGAAAGAACTGTGACAGTGTGGCAGGGTCCCAGGGCAGCACTGAGTGCTTTATTTAATGCTGAGCCTGGGGCGTGTACATGGGGTGGGGGTTGCTGGGCTCCAGGTGTGCTGCTCATTTACCTGGAGTCTGGGAGATGGTCTTCTGGGTGTAGTGACTGTGCAGAGCCTCGTGCATCACTGCACATGTGAAGGCCTGTCCCTGCTGCCACCTGACTTTGTCCATGGAGAGCTTGCTGTACACGAAGTAGGACCCGTCCTTGTCCTTCAGCCGCGGGGTCGTGATGTACTTGGCCTCTGGCTCTGGCTGCTCATTGTGCTTCCACTCCACGTTGGTGTCCGGCGGGTAAAAGTCTTTGACCAGGTAGGTCACACTGATGGTGTTCTTGGCCAGCTTGTCCAGGTGTGGGGGCGGGGTGTACACCTGTGGTGCCAGGGCTTGTCCTGAGGGAAGGGGTCAACACAGACAGTCACTGCCAGGTCAGGGGCTGGCCCCTGGGACCTGCCCCTCACCTGTCTGCTGCCCCTACCTTTGGCCTTGGAGATGGTCCTCTCAATGGGGGTTGGGAGAGACCCGATCTTGACCTTGCACTTGAACTCCTTGCCCTTCAGCCAGTCCTGGTGCGTGATGGGGAAGGCATTGGCCACGCAGTAGGTGCTGTTGAACTGCTGCTCCTGCACCTTCTTCTTAACCGTGTTCGCCTCTGTGCTGTCCACGTACCAGGTGAACTCTATGTCAAGGTCATCCGAGGCTACATCCACTACCACACATGTGACCTCGGGTGCCTGGGAGATCATGAGGATGTCCTTGGGTTTTGGGGGAAAGATGAAGACGGAAGGTGCTCCTGGGGGATCAACAGCTGGTGGAAAAGACACAGTGGCCAGAGGTCAGCACCTAGATGGGCCTCCCCAGGACACTCATCCCCTGTGGGCCATGCCTGGGCTCGGGCCACCTCCTTGGGGTGGCTGACTCACATGCGCATTTGGGACATTCAGGGCACGATGGTCCAAAGTCTGCACTGGGCACGGCAGAGAGAGCACATGAGGGTTTCTGGGGCCTGGGGGTGGTTACTAAGCCCTGGGGGTGGGCTTAGGTCTGAGCCAGGGCTCAGCAGGTCTCAGAGCAAGGTCTGCCTTTGGGGCCTCTGAGGCTGGGGAAGGGGTGTCCAGCCTGTGCCCTTCCTGGGCCTGGTAGAAATGCCCAGAAGACCCCTCCCCGAGCTTGGGGAGCCTTCAGGATGGGGAGACTGTCAGTGCGTCACCCATAGCCTTGGGGCAACCATCCCTGCTCCATGGCCTGTCCAGGCAGGAGGCCGCCCTGGCCTGTCTCCCATAGATGTCCCCCAGTGGCTGGGTTCTCACTGTCCTTGTTCACTTTGGTGCTGCTGGCTGGGTGGGCTACGCTGCAGGTGTACGTCTGGCTGGACGTGCTGCTGGAGGGCACGGTCACCATGCTGCTCAGAGAATAGAGCCCCGAGGACCACAGGATGGACGGGAAGGTGTGCACGCTGCTGGTCAGGGCGCCCGAGTTCCAGGACACAGTCACTGGCTCGGGGAAGTAGCCGGAGACCAGGCAGGCCAGGGACAACGTGGAGCCGGACGTGGCCCCACAGCGGGGGGACAGCGGGAAGACCTTTGGGGCCGTGGTGGAGGCTGCAAGAGAGGAGGCCGTGTGACTGCCAGGGCCTCAGCCCTAGAGGTCCCTGCAGGGTGTCAAGGGCCCAGGCCTGGGACAGGGCCCAGGCCAGCGCCTGGGACTGATGGTCTGTAGACCAGCTGCCCGTGTGGGTCTCTGCCACCCAGGTCTCGTGCCTCTGTGGCCGTGGGCTCTGGACTCATCAGCTCAGCTAGTGCTGTGTGACCACCTGGACCCGAGCCCCCAGAGCCCCCTGAGCTCCCTGAGTCCCCAGCCCCCTTGTCCCCATGAAGCCCTCTGAGCCCTGACCCGTAGCCCCTGCTTCGGGCTGGCTCACACAGTCAGCCCCCTGTGCCTACTGTCCTGCCCCCTGCCCGGCCCTGCCCCGGGTGTGGAGTTCCCTCCTCGTGGTGGGGCTCTGCCTGTGCTCCGCTGCCAGCCCTGCAGCCACAGCCCGTCAAGCCCGCTCTCCACCCGCTGGGCGAGCTGCGCAGCCAAAGCATTGGCCTGGTCCCTGACCCCACCCCAGACCCTGTCCCAGCCCAGGCTCCTAAGTCTGTGCCCCTGGACCCACCAGCCTCCCCCGTGTACCCTGTGGCCTCCTGAGCTTGTGCATGCCCTTCTGGGGGGGGCCACCCAGCTCTTGCTCGGTCCTGGTCCTTCCTGAGCCCAGCCAGCTCCTCAGCGTGGCCAGGAGCCAGGCCCTGGCCTTGGCACCCCTCTCCTGCACGGAGCCAGTGACCCAGACCCTTGTGGCCGGGGTGCACCCCCACCCCACAGCCAGGCCTGTTTCCCCAACCTGGTCCCATCAGTCAGCCCCAGGGCTCTGCCCCTCGGTCCCCTCTCCCTTCCGACCCCATCCTGGTCTCAGGCCCTGAGTGGGCCCTCCTGCTTCCCACTGAGGGGTCCGTGGAGCTGTGCCACCCCACATAGCCCCAGCTCCCTGCAGCAGGACTGGTGCCTCTGGGCCAGGAAAGGTGGCCCACCTGGTCTCAGGGGCCCCCTTGCCCCTTCCCCTCGGAGCCTTTCCTTCCTCTCTACCCCCTTTGCTGTCCGCCAGGCTCACCTGGCCCCGCAGCTCACTCTCTGCTCCCTCCCAGCTCAGCCCCCACCTCCTCCAGGGCTCCTTTGCGCTCAGGCCCTGCCCTGGTCCCCAGAGCTCCTGGGCTGCCCACCACCTCTTCTGCCCTCCCAGCCCACTGGTGCCCACTCTGCCTGCTGCCCGGAGCTCCTGGCCCTGGGGCTGCTCCCTTTCAGGGCCCCACAGGCTCGCCTCCTCCAGCTGCTCTCCCACAGCCTGCCCTGCCCCGTCCCTCTTCCTGGACCCGGACAGGAGCTCAGGCCTCTTGTCCATCAGTCTCTTGCCTCTGATCATCCGAGGCCCAGCTCTGCCAGCTCAGGCCCCAGCTCTCCTTGCCCAGGGGCCCTCAGCATGACCAGCGGAGGCCCCACCCTGAGCGCCTGCAGGACTCCAGGCCCCGCGTCTGGCCCAGCCGCCGGCCCCCTGCACTCAGGCCTCCTGCTCAACCCAGAGCTGCTATGTCCACTGCAACAGCTCACCGGCGGGGGCCCGTGTTCCATCCCTGGAGCCCCCGAGCAGCAGTGCCCTTACAACTACTGCCCTGTGCTCCCTGCCTGCTCACCTGCTCTCCGCGGTCCCTTTGTCCTCAGAGACCTGGGGCAGCTCCCTGCCCCCCGCCCCCCCCCGCCCTCCCACCTGCCCTTGCCCACCTGCAGTTGTCTTGCCCCTCATCCCTAGCCGGCTGGGCTACAGTAGCCCCTTGCCCCTTCTGCTCTAGGATCCTATTTCTCATAGATCTGTGAACTCCACCCAGGCTGCTCTGTGCCCCACAGCTCCCTCTGGGTCCTCTGCCATCCCAGAGCCCTCAGCCGTGTTCAGCTCCACTTCTGATCGCATCCTCCTCGGGCTGGCCCTGGGCTGTGCCCGCCCTCTCTCCGGCTGGCTCTGTCCACACAGCTTCTGCTCTGCCCATGCCTTCTCTGAGGAGCTCACCCTTTCTGCTCCCCCCACCCCCTGGGAACCCTGTAGACCTTTGCTCCTTCTAGTTGCAGGTCAGCTGCCCTGCGCCCAGAAACCTTGCCCCAGAGCCCCAGCTCCTGTCCTCGTCCCCCACCAGCGGGGCCGTCCACTGAGCCCGCGAGCCCACGCACACCTCTCCTGCTGAGCCCCTGCTCGCCTCTCCCCAGGGCCTCGGCCCCTCCTCTGACCCTGCCCATTGTCCTGCACAGGCCCCTGGGGCATCCTGGGGCCTTCTTCCTCCCCGAGCTGAGCCGGCCTCCTCCCTGTCTCCTGGGCTCAGACCCCCTGCCCACCCTGGCGCTGCCCTGCAGGGTGGACTCTAGCCCGGCCTGTGCCTTGCCCACTGGCCACGTGCAGCTCTGGCTCTGCCCTCCAGCTCCTCACTGTTCTCATGCCCACAGCCCAGCTGGCCTCTGCTGACCTCTGGCGCGTCCAGCTCTGTGGGTGAGCAGTGCTTCCCTGCTTCCTGTGCTCGGTGGGGCCACGGCCTGAGGCCACCTGCATTTCCCCGCTGCCTCAGCTGATCCTGCGGCTCCCTGGGGCCTCCAGCGCCCGATCTGCCCTCAGCTCCTGTGGCCGGTTCCACGGCCCCCACCGCCCTCCCTCTGCCCTGCTCCGGAGGGACACCACTCACCACTCTGCCCTGCCCTCTCCAGCCCCGATCCCGGGGGCTCCTCCTGGCTGTGCTCTGTGCCCACAGCCCTGCGGCCCAGGGTCTGGAGGTGGCGGGGCCCTGAGGTGCGACTCTCCCCACCCCCAGCTCTGCAAAGCCTAAGAAGGGGATTGAAACCAGCCTCAAGGCTTGCTTCCTGAGGTTCCCTTTTTTCTGGGTGCTTTCTGTGTCAAGGGGCCTGGGGGAGTCCAGACGTGGCCAAGGTCACCTTACACAGGTGTACAGGGGTGGGGCAAGGCCGCCATCGGGGCCCAGGGGACTGTGGGAAGCTGGCAGTCACGCACTCTGCCTCCACGGGACTGGCCTCTCCTGGGCCCTCTGTCCCGGGAGCAGCTCTCCCCGCCCCCCTGGCGTGCAGTGTGGGCACAAGCTGTCCTGCTCACTGTCTGCAGCCCAGTCCTGGCTTGTCCCCTCTGCACCAGGGGCTTCCCAGGAGCCTGCTGTCTCCCTGGGGTCTCTGACTCTCCCCTCCTTCCCTCTGCCTCCATCCGTGGCCGTATCGCTGACCAAAGGATGGTGCTGACCCACAGTCTGGGGGAAGCTGTCCTCCAGAGGATGGACGGAAGTCTGATGTGTGAGGACGGAGTTCACGGTGGTCACTGGTCCCAAAAGTGTCCCTCTGGCTGAGACATTGAGCAGCCCCTGCCCAGCCCTGAGGACGCAGGCCCTGCCGTCCTGCGCGAGGGACCTGGGTCCTCAGTGTCTGTGTCTCGGCCACACGTAGCTCAGCCGCCCTGGAAGTTCAAGCTTTGGCCTTGGACTGGGAGGCACCAGTGCCCCATCCCGGACACGCCAAGGGCCAGGAGGGCTACTGGGCAGGGGCCAGGAATGGTCCCTTCCAAGCAGTCAGTGGGCAGAGCTTATGTTTGGGCTGCAGAGTGGAGTCCTCCACCACAGGAAGGGAACATTGTCTGTGACATAGGAGAAGAGGGGTCCCTCTCACCCACGGTTTGCAGGGCCCAGTGCCCTGGGTCCGCAGGTCCCCCATCCGCCTGTCAAGAGTCCTCCAGGCCCCTCCGCTGGCCCTGCCGTCCAGTCCTCACACCACATTCTGTGGTTTGGGGTTTCTCACTTCCCAGCCCCAGGTCCTGGTCCAGTGGAGCACGAGAGCCTCAGCCGGGGGCTCAGAGGCTCCGCTTAGAGCCCAGCGCCAGGGACAGTGGCTCCATGCTCCTCTCTGCGGCACAGCGCCTGTTACGGAAAACCAGACTCAAGACACGATTCAGGGAACGGAGTAAGCCTTTATTCACACGTGCGGGCTCAGAGGAGGCAGTCTCCAAATTCTGAGCCCCGAATAGGGGTTAGATAGGGGTTTATAAGCCCTAGCATTCCGGCGGGAAACGGATGGGCTTCCCAGGTGGGGGAAGGGATTAGCATTCAGGTGGGAGATTGATGAGATTGATGTGCTACCCAGGCAGGGGAAGGGATGTGAAAACGGGCTACAGAAGCAGATAAGCAATGATTAACAGTTAACCTGGGAGGGGTCTCTGGCTAGGCTGCTCCTCCCAAGTCATCTTGCCCTTATCATTCCCCACTTTGATGCTAGACGAGATTGGCCTGAGTCTTAGCATCATCACACAAGTCACGGTGGTCACTCTGTTGGGGTTGGGTTGGGAGCCTTTGGTATCAGTGATGCTGGAGGAGCAGCACTCAAGCAGCGGCTCGTCTGGTGACCGCGGTCTCTAGGTTATTAATGAGGGTGCGCAGCAGCCAGGGTCCTAGACTTATTTGTAAGAGGAGTAATATCAGGGGGCCTAGGAATGGAGCCAGCCAGCGGAGCCAGATTTGGGTATCTAAGCTCCATGTCCCTTGCCCTGACTCTCGGTAGCGCTTCGCACCATCTTTCAGCTCCTTAACCTTCTGGGTTAAGATTCCAGCCTAGGAATAGGCAAGTCCCCCCTTTTTCTGCTGTGAGGAGATCTAGGGCTCGCCTATTCTGCAGGGATCATGCCTTGGTTGCCGACTAAGATGGTTGGTCACTACTCTCGGGTGGGATCAGGTCTCTGGTTCCTCGGGTAGAAGGCCCACTGTCCTTCAGTTCTCTTCAGCCGGACTGTGGGGGCTCCCTTCGAGGTGGAGGTTCGGTGGCTCCGAAGTCCTGGCTCATCTGGATCTGCTGCTGCCTTGGCTCGAGTGTAGTGGATCCAGGGGGTTATTCCTGTAACTTTAAGGGCAGTAGGGGTGGTTAATAGTACTAGATGTGGGCCCGTCCAAATGGGTTGGAGTGGTTCCTTTTTCCAATCCTTTACCCATACATACTGGCCTGGACGGAAGGGGCGTGCTGGCCTCCCTCAGGGTTTGGG